ATGTAATGTAATGTAATGTAATTCAAAGTAATGTAATGTAATGTAATGTAATGTATGTATGTATGTATGTATGTATGTATGTATGTACGAAAAACATGAATGTATGTATAAATATAAACAACACAATAATGTATGTATGCATGCATGGATGCATGCAGATATGTATGCATGTATGTTTAAAAGTATGTATGTATGCATGCATGCATGCATGCATGCATGTATGCATGTAAATATATATATATATATACACATGTATGTATGTATCCGCGCATGCATGCATGTATGTATGTATATATATATGTATGGATGCATGCATGCATGCATGCATTATGCATTATGCATGTATGTATGTATGCATATATACATGTATGTGTGTGTGTGTGTATGTATGTATGTAATGTAATGTAATGTAATGTAATGTAATGTAATGTAATGTAATGTAATGTAATGTAATGTAATGTAATGTAATGTAATGTAATGTAATGTAATGTAATGTAATGTAATGTATGTATGTAATGTATGTATGTATGTATGTATGTATGTATGTATGTATGTATGTATGTATGTATGTATGTATGTATGTATGTATGTATGTATGTATGTATGTATGTATGTATGTGTGTGTGTATGTGTATGTGTATGTGTATGTGTATGTGTATGTGTATGTGTATGTGTATGTGTATCTATATATATATATATGAATGTATGTGTGTATATATGTATGGAAGTACGTACGTACGTAGGTAGGCATGTATGTATGTGTGTGTATGCAGGCATGTATGTATGTACGTACTCACGTAGGTAGGTAGGTAGGTACGTATGTATGCATGCATGCATGCATGCATGTATGTATGCATGCATACATACATACACACATACACACGTACACACATGCACACCTACATACATACATACATACATACATGCATGCATGCATGCATGCATATATATATATATATCTTTACATACATACATATGCATACATACATACATACATACATACATACATACATACATACATACATACATACACACATACACACATACCTACCTACCTACCTACCTACCCAGCTACCTACCTACCTACCTACCTACCTACCTACCTACCTACCTACCTACCTACCTACCTACCTACCTACCTACCTACCTACCTACCTACATATGCACATACATACATACGTACATGCATACATACATACATACATACATACATACATACATACATACATACATACATACATGTATGGACAACACCGCGCACCAAATATGTCGTCGCTCAACCATGGCGGTAATTTCAGGTCCCGCGCTCCTCGGCGGCTGCCACGGCCTTCGGCGGCCAGCTTTGGGCCCCTTGCCCGCGGGCGGCCGGGCGATGGGTTTTGAGCCTCCAAAATGGGCGGCTGGAGGTTGCAAAATGGGTTTCGGATGTTCCAACATGTTTTTAAAATTCCAAATGTTCCAAAGAATTGTTCCAAACTCACCTTGGTCCCAACTCACCATTTTCTTTGTTAGGACTCGGATGTTCCAAAATGGGTTTCCCTCTCGGTTTCCTTGAGAAAATCATTTTTGATATCCGAAAAAATCAGACACAACGAGTTTGTTTTTCCCCAGATAGCTGAAAGCTATAGGGGTTCTAACTTCTAATAAAGAAGGAAAAGTGATTTGCGAGATTGAGGGCCGGGTGCTAGGGGGCATGCAGTTTGGGGTGCTGGTGGAGGTGCTGCTTTGCGAGCTTCACGGTCGGGTGCCAGGGGGCATGCAGCTTGCGGGGCTAGTAGTGGAGGTGCTGTTTTGCGAGAGTGATGGTCGGGTGCTAGGGGGCATGCAGTTTGGGGTGTTGGTGGAGGGGCTGTTTTGCGAGATTAACGGCTGGGTGGCATGCAGTTTGGGGTGCTGGCGGAGGTGCTGTTTTGCGAGAGTGATGGCCGGGTGCTAGGGGGCATGCAGTTTGGGGTGTTGGTGGAGGTGCTGTTTTGCGAGAGTGATGGCAGGGTGCTAGGGGGCATGCAGTTTGGGGTGCTGGTGGAGGTGCTGTTTTGCGAGCTTGACGGCCGGGTGCTAGGGGGCATGCAGTTTGGGGTGTTGGTGGAGGTGCTGTTTTGCGAGAGTGATGGCCGGGTGCTAGGGGGCATGCAGTTTGGGGTGTTGGTGGAGGTGCTGTTTTGCGAGAGTGATGGCCGGGTGCTAGGGGGCATGCTGCTAGTGGAGGTGCTGTTTTGCGAGAGTGATGGCCGGGTGCTAGGGGGCAGGCAGTTTGGGGTGTTGGTGGAGGTGCTGTTTTGCATGGCCGGGTGCTAGGGGGCATGCAGTTTGGGGTGCTAGTGGAGGTGCTGTTCTGCGACAGTGATGGTGGAGGTGCTGATTGACGGCCGGGTGCCAGGTGTGACGTGCTGGTGAAGGTGCTTTGCGAGATTGATGGCCGAGCGCTACGGGGCATGCAGTGGGTGCTGGTGGAGGTGTTGCTTTGCGAGAGTGATGGCCGGGTGCTAGGGGGCATGCAGTTTGGGGTGCTAGTGGAGGTGCTGTTTTGCGAGATTGACGGCCGGGTGGCATGCAGTTTGGGGTGCTGGCGGAGGTGCTGTTTTGCGAGAGTGTTTGCCTGTTTTGAGAGAGTGATGGCCGGGTGCTAGGGGGCATGCAGTTTCGGGTGTTGGTGGAGGTGCTGTTTTGCGAGATTGACGGCCGGGTGCCAGATGTAGTTCGCGGTGCTGGTGCTGTTTTGCGAGCTTGACGCAGTTTGGGGTGGTGGTGCAACTGCTGTGTTGGGTTGCCGGGGTTCTAACTTCTAATGAAGAAGTGGGATTGTTTTGCAAGATCGACGGTTGGGAGCTAGGGGGCATGCACTTTGGGGTGCTGGCGCAGGTACAGTTTTGAGGTGCTGTTCGGGCTGGTGACAGTACGTGACGGCAAGGTGCTCGGTGCTCGGCGACCTGTCCAATGCTGGTGCGGGTGCTGCGTTGGGGTGCTGTTGGGGCTGCTGTCTTGAGGTGTTGGTGACGGTGTGGGCGCATATGGACGGCAGGGTGCTAGGGCGGGTGCTGTTTCATGATGCCGTTGAACCGGTTCGGACGTTGTCATCCTGATGTTGGCAGCAATCATGGCGCCACCACACCCACGAACCATAACGCAGCATCGCAGCATCGCAGTGACAGCAGCATCATGACGCGGGTGACAACATCATGATGACACACCAGCCACGAACCACGCACCATGACAAACGACTGTTAGACTACTAGAGCAGCAATGCTGAATTTCACTACGCTGTCGCGAGAAGATTCGTGGCTGTGGTATCATCATGATGCTGCCTTTTCAATTTTACCATTACCATGATGCTGTTCGCATCACCATGATGCTGTCCGCATCATGGTGGTGCTGTCCGCATGATCGTGACGCTGTCCGCATCATCATGATGCTGTCGAACTCATCAGCACGTCGTCTCTGCCTTTTTTCAGCTAGATGTGTGGCGCGGAATCGTTCGTTGCTGGTGCATCAGCATGATGCTGTCAACATCATCATTTTTGCTGCTGAACTCATTAGGACGCTGTCTTCGTGTCTATTTAGCGCACTTGCTGAGTGGCTGTGGTATCATCATGATGCTTTCAACATCATCATGATGCTGTCAACATCATCATGATGCCTCGGGAACCATTATGATGCTGCAATGGTTCGTAGCCGTGATGCGCTATCTGGGGTCTACGCTGGTGTAATTTTGTCTTTAAATGGGGGAATGGGGTGGTGGGGTGGTGTTTTTGTCCCCTTGAACCACCCCAGGGGAACCAGACGGGCCCGTTAAAAACCACCTAGTGGAAATAGAAGTGGATAAGGAGCATCGGAACCACTTGTCGCAGGAGCCTGGAAACTGTTTGTCGCCAGGTCTGGGTGAACCAAACACATCTCAATCCTGATATGTGCCATGGTCAAAAGAGCAGTTCCTTTACTTGGGGTTGACAGGGATGGTCATCCACCTGGTAAGCAACCTTATTGACCATCATGTTGATGCCCCCCCCCTGACCAATCAACAGGGGGGTCCTGGACGATCATTCTCCTTTGAAAGGGACCCCCAAACGTCAGGTTCCGTGTTTATTGGTGAGAGTTTTGGCCACCGGCGTGGTTCACCCAAGTCTTGGTTTTCTTCGAGGGTGTCCAGCGACACTAACGGGCCCACCCGTATTTCAAGTCGGGGACCCTCACTGTGTCGCTGGTTTCCTTTCGAGCTTTCCTTCAAGGTAGAATGCAAGGTTTTCAATTTTCAAAATTGCTTGATTTGGTGTTGCTTGAGCTGTTGATCAATCAGAACAAACGCAGTCAAACTGCTCCTCTTTTGGTTCTCTTCAAACAGATTGTTTCCCATCGACAAGTGGAACTGTCTTGGGTGAGTGGGAGGGCTTTTCGAGTTTTCAAAGTGGTGTGTGCGTCCGAACGTTGTCAAGCACACCTGCGCGCCAGATCCTTTTTGCGTCCAGCGATTTGGCCTGGCTTTGTTCTGGCTCTGGGGTCCCTTTTTACGGCCTCTTGACACGACTCTGATCAGCAACAAGAACTGTGACAGCTGTTTTGAGCTTCAGAGGCAGAACGCAGACGCTTGGAAGAATCATATGGGCAAAGGACGCCCCATGATGGCTGCGGCTTTCTCTTGGTTTCCCTGTAAAACCGTCCAAAAGGGGTACCAACTCAAAGAAAGACAGAACAGTGTGGTTTCAGGCCATATTTTGCTTCAACAAATGTATCGGGATTGGGAAGTGCTTGCAATCCAAGCCCTTGCCTTGAGTCGTGATCAAGCCTCCAGGTGCCGTCGGTCATATTCGCGCAATCGAGAAACCGAGCAATCAGTGCGGGATTATTCGCACAGACCTTAGCCGGAGCAACATGAAGACTCCCCTATTCAAGCAAAGCAAACAAACAAAATGCAATTCTAAAGGGTACTTGCCAAGGCACCCAAGCAAAAACGACAAATACAATAATAATTATTTATTCAACAATACTAAGGGTACCTGCCAAGGGAAGGGTGGGCACGATCAAGTGATTTTTCCAAAACTGGCACTCCAGCCCAGTTCCGCCGACGCCGAGGTTCTGGGTGGCACCAGCGGCTCGCGCCTACGTAGCGTGGAAAGGCACGGGATTTCAGAAGGTTTTTGTGTCGCACCGCGATTCTTCGGACGCTCTCTCGGTCTCCCTCCCTCCCTCCCTCCCTCCCTCCCTCCCTCCCTCTCTCTCTCTCTCTCTCTCTCTCTCTCTCTCTCTCTCTCTTTCTCTCTCTATAGGGGTGTTTCTTGTTAGGGAACCCCCAAAATGGCATCGGTTTTCGTGTGGGCTTCCCTTTAAAACCAGAACAACAAGGTATCCTCAAAGCACCACACACCCACAGATGAACGCAGTATTTCAGCCTCAATGAAAGCAGGTTAGGGGACATTTAGGTGGACTTCGACTTGGATCTGAGGGCCCTGTTGTTGTCCTCTGGTCTGTTTTGGCCAGTGAATCAAGTGCAACCTAGGCATCTATAGACGAAGTTCAGGAGAGCAGGCGTTCAGGTGATTTGTAGATAGCGGCGACCATCTTAAGCAGGATGCGAAGGCCACAACACCAAGTTGTTTGATTGGCTTGTGTTCAGCAGCGTGCTTATTCAGCGGAGTCTTCTGGGTTGGTCGATCAATTTGTCCCATCCCGAACGTGCAGGTACGACCCTCGCGCGGGCAAGTGGGAGTTGCGCATCTTGGTCTTAATTAGATTGTTATTTTGCATTGTTTGTTTGTTTGTTTGTTTGTTTGTTTGTTTGTTTGTTTGTTTGTTTGTTTGTTTGTTTGTTTGTGTGTGTGTATTGCTTTGTTGTTTTCTCGTGCTTGCTTGATTGGTGGCGCTGTTTGTTTGTTTGTTTGTTTGTTTGTTTGTTTGTTGGTTTGTTGGTTTGTTGGTTTGTTTGTTTGTTTGTTTGTTTGTTTGTTTGTTTGTTTGTTGTGTGTGTGTGTGTTTTGATTGTTTATTTGTCTGTTGCTGCTTTCTTGCTGCTTGCTTTGTTTTTATTTTGCTTGCTTTCTTGCTGCTTACCTATATCTTTCTGTTTGAATTGTCATAGAGTTCTATTCAAGTTTGTTCCCTCATTGTTTTTTCATTCGTTCGTGTGCCCGTGCGTTCGCTCGCTTCTAGAATTGATACTTATGGCGTTGGTTTCAGGCGCAAGCTCTCTGTTTGCGGGATGGGGTTTGGGCCCATAGGTGTCCTTTTTAAGGAGGTAGATATAGAAGAGGGGGTTCTTTTTTAGGGGGTGTCCTTTTTCTTCGGTCCCATTTTTTGGGTAGAACTCGATTTGGGTTGCACTGGTTTAGTTTTTTTTTCTTTAATGTTATGTGCCAGGGCGCTTCTTTTTCCAAAAGGTCACCGATGGTTGGGCCCACTTTACATGTACCACGCTGTAGCCAGGGAGACGTTGTGCAATGCATTCTGAGGTGCGGACATGATCGAGGCCGAGGGGGACTCGGGTGGGTCATGACTGGCTTTCAAGGCCAGGGTCATGACTTCAGTTTAAGAAACCGTCTGGGTTGCTTCACCATTTTGGCTCCCTATACTCATAGTCATGGAGGCGGCTTGTCCCAGACGATTTCTACTCCGAGACTCCGCGCGCCTGTTGCTTGGCCTGACCTTTCCGCAGCCCATTGACCGCAACCCAAGGCTTATGGACCTTGGACCCAACACGCATTGGGCACACGTGTGACATAGCCAGAAGATGCGACTCCCATTGACATGAACAGCAGGTCTGCCAAGTGGCCCGAGGTTGAGCAAATAGCTGGCTCCGGCTACGACCTACAGAAGCATATGCTTTCATTGCTTCTATTGCAGGTTTGCAATCAGCAATATCAGACCTGCTGGGCCCAAGTTCCGCCTGGCCCGACCGGGGGCAGATGGCCCCACATCCCGACCACTGAACGGAGCAGCGCCAGCAAGAGGTCCAGCTCCTCGGTTTCGACGTCTCGCCAGGTCAGGTCTACGGCACAGGCGTGCTGCTGCTTGGACCGGCTCTACGCGCGGACCTGAGAATTTTTTTTGGGGTGTTCGAGCGCCCAGGGCCCAGGGGCGGGGGCTTTTCCGTTGAAGACTGGGGGTCGAGGAAAATGTGTGGTTGCGTTGGGAGGGCTTGACGAAATCGACATGGGGGTGCCGTTGTAAGAGGGGCTTGAGGAAACCGACTGGGGGCAGACCTCCGAGGTCAGGGAACTAGGCCGGTGTGTGTTCTAAAATAGGGACCCCTGAAATGATGGGTTTCCTTTGGGCCCCCTTTTTTTTCTCCGAAGCCAGCTCAAAACTGACAAAGCAAGCCGTCCGCCCGAGATTTTTTGGGGCTATTTTCTTGCTGCTCAGCAGGGAATGAGTTGGAACGCCCCTTGAGGAAGACTTTTTTTTTTTTTTAAACATCTCCAGTGGTTCCCGTTGGAATCCCAAAACGGTTCATTCGGATCCCGGAAATTCGAAACCGGTCCTTCCCTTCCTCCGAGCGCGTCAGGGGTCTCCCCTTGCGCTGCCCGCTTTCCAGTCGCCAAGTCGCCCGCTGCCCCCAGATGTCGAGTCGAGTCTCGAGGCCTATGGCGGAACTGACCAGAACCAGCGGGTGCACAGCAGCCTCGAGGGCTACAACCCAGAGGCGGAGGGGCGGGAGGGCAAAAGCGCCGAAGCCGAAAGCTTTCTTCATATGGCTGTGGCTCAAAAAACTGGTACCAAAATGGAACCCTGGTAAGTGGAAACAAAGGCCAAAACCTGCGTAACCTCTCCTGTTGAATTTGAGCCACACCCATATGGGTATGGGTCAAAATAAAACCACCAGGAATTGGACCACTGGTTTTAGTCTTTGAACCCATTTACCAGGGTTCCATTTTTTCTTCATATGAGCCACGTGCTCAAAACCGATTCGGGTACATGGGGTGGGGTGGGGTGGGGTGAGGTGAAGGATAGCAAGGGACGATCCCCTTGCCAGAAATAGTTGCGGAATTCCGGCTTCTTAGTTCTTGAAGCATGGTTCTGGGATTACGACCATTTTTGTACCAGGTTTTGATTATGACTCATATACATGTGTCGATTTGTTAGGACTTGGACAGGGTCCCCAAATGAGCAAACAACTGGCAGAATTTATGGTCAAGGGGAGGACATGGGTGAGGGGGGCCCAAGCTTCCACCACCTTGGACAATTGTGGCCACAAAGTCTTCTCAGGTTATCTTTGTTCACAAGCAATTGTAATTTTGTCCGGCCCAGAGTTAGCGACCCCTCTGCGAGTCGCAACGACTTTCGGGTTGCTGGCTGCAGTCAGCCCAGGCAGGCGGATCCTGGATCTTCCGGAAATCCATGCAGTTGCCGAGGCGGGGTGGAGGTTTTGTGCCGGCGGCTGGACATCAACGTGTGAGTTGGATAGAACTAACGCTCTTTTCTGGAGGCCGCCCAAAGTTTCCAAACTTCCTGGTGAGTTGGATACCTTCACTGTTGTTGCCATGTTTAGTTTTTTTGGCTGTGGTCATTCTGGAAGGGGCTGCAACAAAACCACAGGTTTTTGCCACCATGCCAAGGGTTGGACAGATAGTTCCTGAACTGTGGGATAGAACGTCAAGCGCTTGGAACCGGCTAGGATTCTTGTACATAAGAATAAGAAATGATGATAAGGATGATGCTGATGATGACTGTGATGATAACTATCATCGTAGCATTCTCTGCGTCACCAATGCCGGCTAAAAAGAGATGATGATGACCATGATGATAATGATGATAAGGATGAGGACTGTGATAACTATCATCGTAGCATCCTCTGCATCACCAATGGTCTCTAACGTCCCTTTGAGATGATGATGACCATCATGAGGATGATGAGAAGAGAGATGATGATGATGACCATCATCATGATGATGATAAGGATGATGATGATGATCACTGTGATGATAACTATGATCGTAGCATCCTCTGCATCACCAATGCTGCCTAACAAGAGATGATGATGACCATGATGATAATGATGATATAAGGATGAGGACTGTGATGCTATCATCGTAGCATCCTCTGCATCACCAATGGTCTCTAACGTCCTTTTTAAATGTCAAGAAGAATAAGAAAGAGATGATGATGACCATCATGCAGATGATGAGAAGAGTGATGATGATGATGACGACCATCATCATGATGATGACTGTGATGATAACTATCATCGTAGCATCCTCTGCACCACCAACACTGCCTAGTAAGAGATGACGATGACCGTGATGACAATGTTGATAAGGATGAAGACTGTGATGATAACTATCATCGTAGCATCACCAATCCTACCATGATGATGACCATGATGATAATGATGACAAGGATGAAGACTGTGATGGTAAACTATCATCGTAGCATCCTCTGCATCACCAATGCTCTCTAACGTCCCTATTGGAATTAGAAAGAGACGATGGTGATGAGAAGAGTGATGATGATGCCGATGATGACCATCATCATGATAAGGATGATGATGATGATGATGACTGTGATGATATCTATGATCGTAGCATCCTCTGCATCACCAATGCTGCCCCTACAAGAGATGATGATGACCATGATGATTATGATGATATAATCATCGTAGCAACCTCTGCATCACCAATGCTGCCTACTAAGAGATGATGATGAGTGATGACAATGATGATGAGACTCTGATGATAACTATCAAGAATATGAAATAGATGATGATGACCATCATGATGATGATGAGAAGAATGATGATGATAATGATGACCAGCATCATGATGATGATGAGGATGACCAGCATCATGATGGTGATAAGGATGATGATGATGATGACTGTGATGCTGACTATCATCGTGGCATCCTCTGCATCACCAATGCCACCTAGTAAGAGATGACGATGACCGTGATGACAATGTTGATAAGGATGAACTGCCTGATAAGAGATGATGATGACCATGATGATAGTGATGACAAGGATGAAGACTGTGATGGTAAATATCATCGTAGCATTCTCTGCATCACCAATGGTCTCTAACGTCCCTATTGAAATGTATATAAGAATAAGAAAGAGATGATGATGGCCATCATGATGATGATGAGAAGAGTGATGATGATGATGATGATGACCATCATCATGATGATGATAAGGATGATGATGATGATGATGATGACTGTGATGACGTGATGACCATGATGGACAGACAGACAGGACAGACAGACAGACACACAGACACACAGACAGAGACAGACAGAGACAGACACACAGACACACAGACAGACAGACAGAGGGACAGAGAGACACGCAGACAGACAGACGGACACACAGACGAACGCAGACAGACACGGACACACAGACACACAGACACACAGACACACAGACACACAGACACACAGACACACAGACACACACACACAGAGACACAGAGACACAGAGACACAGAGTCACACAGACACAAGCACGCAGAGACATACGGACACAGACGCGCGCAGGCACACACGCAGAGACACACGCGCACAGACAAAGAGAGAGACGCACACGCAGACACGCACCCACACAGAGAGACACACACAGAGACAGAGAGACACACAGACAAAACACACACAGAGACATACGGACACAGACGCACGCAGGCACACACGCAGAGACACACGCACACAGACACACAAAGAGAGAGAGAGAGAGAGAGACGCACACGCAGACACACACACACACCCACACCCACACAGAGAGACTCACAGACAGACTCGCACATACAGACAGACACACACACACAGACAGACAGACAATGATGATAAGGATGAGGACTGTGATGATAGCTATCATCGTAGCATCCTCTGCATCACCAATGCTGCCTAATAAGAGATGATGATGACCATGATGATAATGATGAAAAGGATGAAGACGGTGATGATAACTATCATCGTAGCATCCTCTGCATCACCAATGGTCTCTAACGTCCCTTTTGAAATGTATATAAGAATAAGAAAGAGATGATGATGACCATCATGATGACGAAGAGAAAAGTGATGATGATGATGATGATGACGACCATCATCATGATGATGATAAGGATGATGATGATGATGACTGTGATGATAACTATCATTGTAGCATCCTCTGCGTCACCAATGCTGCCTAACAAGAGATGATGATGACCATGATGACCATGATGACAATGATGATAAGGATGAGGACTGTGATGATAACTATCATCGTAGCATCCTCTGCATCACCAATGCTGCCTAATAAGAGATGATGATGACCATGATGATAGCGATGATAAGGATGAGGACTGTGATGATAACTATCATCGTAGCATCCTCTGCGTCACCAATGCTCTCTAACGTCCCTTTTGAAATGTGTATAAGACCCCCAAAAAAGCAAGCCGGGTGGCCTCGACTACGCTTATGGTGGCCCTAAAAACGCTTATGGCCACCATGATGACGATGATGATGATGATGATATTGATTACGATGGTGACAAGGATGATGAAGACACCGATGATGATGACACCCTTCCCATGCGCCTCGCCCTTACAGACAAGGGGTCGGCGGATATATATATATATATATATATATATTTTTTTTTTTCTATGTATGATCCGGGCTTCCACCTCCCCCCCACAAGGGTCCGGTTGAGAATTGGTTTGGGTTCCCCCCTGTGGTTGGGGGGTCAAGGGTTGGTTTAGTTTAGTGGGTCTAGGCTGGTGTTTGGCTTGATTTAGGGTTTGGTTCAGGGTGGGTGGTTTGTCAGCTAGGTGACTATATGGTTGGCTAAGGGTGGGTTTGGAACAAAGGGTGTAGACTTGGTTCAAGGTTGGCCTCGGCTTTGTTTGGGTTTGGTTCTTGATCAGTTTTTTCTTTTTTTTGTAGGGCTTGGCCAGAACGGGTAGGGGCTGGTTTAAGGTGAGTTTGGTGTGGTTTTAGAGTTGTGTTACTTAAGGGTTTAGAACCGGCTTGGTTTAGCGTTGGTTTGGCATTCGTTGAGGAAGGAAAGCTCAGCTTGTTTGAGAGCTGGTGTGGGGTTGTGTGGTGGTTGCTTGTGAGTTGGGCCGGGGTTGCGCAGATGGTCCAGGAGGGGAAAGGTTTGGCTTGCTGCAAGCTTACAGATGGGCCTGCCGCTGAAAAATGCCGGGGATGCGGGGGATGCTGAGGGTGACCGAGAGAGGCGAACACCGATCCAGGGAGCAAAAATAGGTTCTCTAAGAAGGGCATCCATCTATCATTTCAGATGCAGACGAATCGTCATGCTCAATGAACAACTTGGACCAAGAACAGGGAATCTTACTGATTCTGACAGCTTGGGGATTGCCAGGATACAAGCAGACTCCGTCCATTAAGATTCAGACAAAACAAGCGGACCGCAGTGCGATGAACAGGTGACAGACTGCTCGCAAAGATTTTTTTCAATGTTCTGGCTTAGGTGAACCCACTCCCCAATTTTTCCCGGCAAAACGCGACACCACGCAACAAAAGGGTACCCTCAAAAATAGGCACATCCGCTTGCACGGATGTGCATGTGGTCTGCGTGGATGTCTGGGATCGGCTTGGCTGCACCTCAGGATGGACTTTGGCAGTTGCGTGCTCAGCGACTCCATCATGGTGGGGGGCGGCCAGCACGGGGAGGCCTGGCACAGTGAGTAAATTGGTCGGTGAGACCCGCGCTTGAAGAATTTGGGTTGTGCTTTTAAGGTGCCTCCGAAACCACCGAAAAAGGCGTACCCTCGAGAAAAGAGGCAGATGTACCAGGTGGAATTTGGGGTGGTTTTGTGGATTGGCTGGCAGGGTTTCCGAGCCATGTCCCTCCTCCAAAAGTGGCGTTGGTTTCGATGGAACCACCAGTAAGTTGATCAACTCCCGTTGAACGTACGGGTTCAACCCAAGGCGTTTCAAGTTCATTTGGTTTGCAAGTGGCCCCGTCATTTCACTCAAGTTGACATGGCCATGTCTCCCTCTCTCTCTCTCTCGCTCTCTCTCTCTCTCTCTCTCTTTGTGCTAAACACAAGTGCTCACATGCTCACATGACTCACATGACTCACATTGTAACCAATCAGAAAGCGGGTTTTTTTCAAAGGTTCCCTTGAACTGAATCAAGGATGGCCGTCGGCTACCGAGAGAGCCTAAATGAATGAATGTTCGGCCAACGTGGGCTCTTGGTGCATGTTTCAACCCCTTGACTTTTGCGGCTTTTCGTGGGCTTTTGGTGGCTGGGTTTGGCATTCCACCCCTCAGCATCACCAGCAGCACCCTTTGCGGCTTTCCGTGTGTTTTTGCAAGTCTTTGTGGCTTTTTGCCGGCTTTTGTGGCTTCACATTCTCATCACCAACGGAGCACCTAGCAGCACTCTGTTGGTGTCCTTTGTGTTCTTATGGCGATGACTTGAAAAGGCAAGCCCAAATCTCAACCCTGAACGAACCCTTAAGAAATCCAATCCCTAAACCCACCTTTCGGCTTGCGGCTTTTGTGACTTCCTAAATCAACTCTAAACCACCACTCAACCCCCTTGGTTCCACCACTGAAAGTAAACCAACCTTAAGCCAAACCTGAACCCACCCAAAACCCACCCCAAAGAAGCCCTAAACACACCCTTAAACTCGCAAACTCAAGACACCCTATACCAACCCTAACCCACCCTAAGCCAACCATAAAACCATGAACACCCACACCAAGCCCGCCCTTGACCCGCCCTAAAGAATTACCAAACTTGCCCTTGACCCTAAAGAAGTCCTACAAAAACCTTTGTTCCACCCTAAAACCCACACCAAGCCCGCCCTTGACCTGCCCTAAAGAATTCGTACCCTAAACCCACACCAACCTCGCCCTTGACCCTAAAGAAGTCCGACAACAACCTTAAATCCACCCTAAAACCCACACCAAAAGCCGCCCTTGATCCGCCCTAAAGAATTCGTACCCTAAACCCACACCAAACTCGCCCTTGACCCTAAAGAAGTCCGACAACAACCTTAAATCCACCCTAAAACCCACACCAAAAGCCGCCCTTGCCCCGCCCTAAAGATTCGCACCCTAAACCCACACCAACTCGCCCTTGACCCTAAAGAAGTCCTACAAAAACCTTAAATCCACCCTAAAACCCACACCAAAAGCCGCCCTTGACCCGCCCTAAGGAATTCGTATCCTAAACCCACACCAAACTCGCCCTTGACCCTAAAGAAGTCCCACAAAAACCTTAAATCCACCCTAAAACCCACACCAAACCCGCCCTTGACCCGCCCTAAAGAATTCGTACCCTAAACCCACACCAAACTTGCCCTTGACCCTAAAGAAATCCTACAAAATCCCACACCAAACCCGCCCTTGACCCGCCCTACCAAAACCTTAAATCCAGCAAAAACCCACACCAAACCCACCCTAAACTCACCCCAAACCATAAACCCTCCACCAAGCCTAAACAGCCCCAAGCAAGCAGAAACCAATCTTCGTCCCCACCCTGCACCAGCACTTGACCATCCCTAAGCCACCCAAACTGCCCCAACCAACCAAGCCTACACCCTTCTATAAGAACCCAAAACCAACCCTAAACCCACGCTAAAGAAGCCCTAAACCTGTCCAAACTCGCCCCAGACAATCCAGCACTAAATTGGCATGCGTGGGAAAAGAAGCACATCTTGAGAACGAACCAATCAAGTGCTGACTGAAATCTCGATCCTTTTTTACCCGTCGGGGACTCCCCATAGTTCAGAAAAAAGGAAAAAACACATCAGCCCGCCAGGAAGCGTTCTTGGACATGGCAACCAAGACTGTTTGGCTACGGTTTGTCTAGCCAACAAGTTTCGTTTTCTTCTTATGCTTGTGGAAGATTATACATAAAACATACAACATAAAATAACACATAATTCCTATGTACATCAATTTGTTTTGTGGAAGCACCGCATTTCTTTTTCAAGCTCGAAGGGTTCAAGGTCCAACCTTCAAAAGCCGCGCGAAAACCGGTCGTCTTGAGGGACAGATGGTTTGCCTTTTCGAGTCAAACCCGGCTGCTCAGGGAATGAGGGCATGACCCGAAAAAAGAAAAGAACACGTGAAAACAACTCTATCCAACCTATGGCTTCCTTCAAGGGAATCCCCTAAACCCGTTCATTCCCAGGGAATGAGGGCAGGACCCTATAAACTCCATCCAAGCTCTCGTTTTCTTTAGGGAATCCCCTTATTCCCGGTTCGTTTTCCAGACACCCGGGATTCGTTGTCGTTCCCCATCGCACCCGACCGCCAGAGACACCGACCCTCGTCCGCGCGAGTGTGCGAATCGAAGCAACGCCGCGAAGCGTTGCGCTGGCCAACATCTTTTTCTTTTTCAAAGAACAATAAAGATAACAGTATATATACACATATATATATATATAATACACATATATATATATAATTCAGATAATACATATATATATATATTTCTTTGGGTGGAAGCATCAACGAGTTCGAAGCGTTGCGCGTTGCGCGCCAGGTGCTGGCCTCCACGGAGTTCTACCGCCCGGAGCTGGACGACTGGCAGCCGGGACGCCCGAAACCCGAGCGCGGAGCTCGCGACTCGAAGGGAGCCGCGGAGCTCGCGGGGTCCGACTTTTTTCGTGGAAGCTATATATTTGTTGTATAAATATTGATTTTTCATGGAAGTAATTATACAGTATTTGTTGTATAAATATAGGACTGTGATTGGACGAATATTGGTATTTTGTTCCATTTTCATGGAATGTGATTGGAAGAATATTGGTATTGTAGTGTTGTATTTTGCTTTCGGAGCGTGGTCCCGTCTCAAGAATCGGGGCCTCCCCTCAAAAATGGTGGTTGTCCTCTCGGTTTCCCTCTAACGTCCCACCAAAGAAGGGCGGAGTGCCAGCTTGAAAAAAGACGAGCCACTCAAACGGGCACGGCTGAAAAGGGTTTCAGTTTTCTTCAGCTTTCCTTCTGGCTTCCCTCACCAACCTGAAAAGGGTCACCATTCGCCTCAAACGCACAAATACAAGGAACTTTGGGTATCCATATCGACCCCCCCGATAAATGCTTTTTCCACCCCAAGTCAGGTGATGGGTCGGACCCCAAGTACCCCGGTGAAGTTTGAGCAGCACAGCCTCTGACTCTAAGGCGGTTGCCACTTCCGGAATTTCTTTTGCGAGATGTGGGGGTGGTCATTAAAGTAGTCAGAAAGCAAAGACATTGGAAGACATTGTTACAGAGCTATGGAGGACGTCTGCGTCTGATGGTGCAAAACGCCCCGGGCGTTTCAGGCAACCCTTGCAAACGCAGAGCAGCAAGTTTATTTCTTATGCAATCAACGGTGTGCTTTATCCAAGTTTTATCAGTCCTGCGGACTGACTCTAGTGCTGAACGCACAGCGGCTCGGAGTCCATGGCACACCAATCAATCGCTGCTCATCCAGACCACGACTTGCAAGAGATCAAAGACTACACACGGCCTCCAACATCCTTCCAAAACACGTCATTGATTGGCTTTGGTGCATTTTGCTAGGCGTGCAAGAGAACCACACAAGCGTGCTTGGAAGTGTGTGTTTACAGGTAAGCGGAGGTTTTAACAAAGGTATTCTCTTCAGTCAGGATCACACGAGAAACTGACAAACCTATTTGTAGTCTACGGTTGGTTGCACATGAAAGGACAACCCAAATTTTTCATGTTCTCTTGGGGAACATTCGGGGACAGTGATGCAGTCTGGAATTTGTGTAACCCATGGAACAAAGGAGGCTCATTGGTTCCAAGTTCCGGAGCGCCAAAAAAAATCGGCTGGGTCTTTTTTCCGGTCTATTGGGTGCTTGCCACTGTGGGTGCAAAGCCGCACCTCCTCCTTTGAAGGGGATAGTAGGACTTGGTTTTTGGTGAAAGACATGAGTTCAAGGGCAAGAAACGAAGCAAGGCAAGATGGGACGGCAAAGGACAGAGAAAGACAAGCAAGCAAAGGCAGAGGCGACGCTTTTTTCATATCGCAGGCCAACAGTTTCGAGCCAGTCACTCACCTTATCTCCCCAATAAGAGGGGGCTATCATGAATGGCTGTGATGGTCATGGACCTGCTCGTGTACCTTATTCAGCTTCCGATCACAATTGTGTGTGAAGGTACAGGCGACAGACATCTTGTTGACGCAATGCGACTCATTTTCGAGTGTGGCAGGTATTCGTATCCCTTGCCAACTCCGTCCTCCCCAAGCGAAGCCACTCAAACGTCTGAGATCTGAGGGTTGATCGAACCTGTGCGGCATAGATGTGGCTAAGGCGTTTTTGTTTGGTGTGCTCTGTGCATGGGATGCTCAGCGTACTTGTGTAGCTTTTATTGGCCGTACGGCCCCACATAAGTTTTGCCTTGCATCATCAAGATCGCTTCCCTATCGCTTCGGCCCCGAACGAAACATGGCACCTTGCCCACGAGTCAACAAGCTGTGGCGCCAGATGTTGCCACATGGCTGTGGCTGTCTTTCAGGGATGGATCGCAAGACATGGCCATGCTGCCACAAACCAGAGAGCGCTCTGAGCAACTTGAAACGGTTTCCAAGCACCAGCCAGCTCTTCCCTCAAAGTCATGGCTAGGCGTGAATCACTCAAGTACTTTTGTCCGCTTGGCTTGCGCTCGCCGAGGATTTTTTTCGGTTTCGGCACTTTCAGGCGCTCGCCGGATTTCTCAGGCTGGGGCCGCCCATGTTGTCGCCGCGCTACGGGCACAAGCTGCTGCTCGCCGGAGCCTCGGAGGTGTTCGGAGTGCGGCGCGGGAGCGAGTGAGCGATGCATGTGGGGACCTCCGCATCTGATTCGGAGGGTGGGGCCTGAAGGAAAACCGGTGTTTTTTTGCTGGCGAAGGTTGATCTGGGTATGTCTTCTTTTTGAGTTGGTGTTCTTTTTCGGGATGCAAGCCGCTCTTTTGGTCAAAGAAGAACGTGGGTAGCGTATGCAAGATGATCCAATATACATAGGTGCTTTGGTGCTACCTCGCATGCGAGCGAGTGACGGAGCATATGTGGAGTTGCGATCGACAGGTCTCTTAGATTGTCACACTGCATTGAACGAGGCCCCTTGTCAAACACGGCCACGGAAGCGGCAAGCTTGCAGGCGGATCCTTTCTGTGAAGAATCGCGAAGTGGTCACAAAGGAGCAAACAAGCTGGCTTTTGATTGGTTGGAGCGGCACCCGAAAAAAAAGAGGAAGGAAGTTTGACCAAGCCCAGCACGTTTGTTGATTATAGCCGGCAAAAGTGAGACTCTGCGCTCGCATGGGCAAAGTGACTGCTTTTCACAATTGAGAGAACTGGCTGATAGACGGCTGGCTGGTGGCAAGGTCAACCTCTGAGTCTCCATGCAGGACAGCCATTTGGGCGGAGATGGGATGGGTTTTGGGACCTGGTTTCCAACCTGAGTGTGGCATGCTGTAGATATTGTCTCAAAGTCAGGAGACATGAAAACATGGGTGGTTTTTCTTTTTCCCTTTGTGTCTCGCAAGTTTCGGCAACTTTCCAGGCGATTGGCGTTCTTGGGTGTTCCGACAAAAAACAACACCTTCAACAGGCATTTAAGTCCTGGTTTGAGCGGCTTTCCCTTGGTTGCAAATGGGCAAAAGTGTAGCTGTAGGTGTGCACTTGACTTGACTCCCCATAAGTGTTCCAGTTGGCCGATATGGCTCAAGTGGAGCTTCTGATTTCCGTGCTTTTGAAAAGCGAATCCCCTCTTCCCGTTGAAGCCACGAATGGCCGGCGAGAGAACGTCGAGGCAAAAACCAAGACCATTGCTGCGACCGGGCTCGGCCCCCTTCTAGTGAAGGCCGCGCTGATTTTGCGCGGAGAGCCCAGTCTCACATTCCAGGCTTCTGGTTGCTAGCGACTGCTTGCTCTCTTTCAATGAATCATCCCGCAAGATGCATGCGGCGGTCTTGACTTGTCCTTGCGCGATAGCCAGATCATGGGTCCTTCTCATGTAAGACACGTTTTCAACACTTGGGCGGATAATTCTGACCCATACTCATCCTGACCCACACTTCCCTGCGGAAAGCTAGAAGTTCCTCGGTTTGAAACGAGGAATGTAGTTACTCCCACCAACGCTTTTTTGAAGTGCGCAGAGCGAGATGGGAGTCTTTTTCTCTTTTTTTTCCTGGGGAGAGGGTCCCTCCCCAAAATGATGGTTTTCCCTTTGGTATCCCTTTAAAACCGCAAAAAGAGGAACGCTCACAAAAAGCACTCTGTCTCTTTTTGAGGGTACGCCTTTTCGGGTTGGTTGAAAGGGAGACCAAAGAAAACACACATCATTTCTTGTTTTGAGGGAGATTGAACAAAATTGGGATCCTTTTTTTTATTTCCTAGGGCTGTTCTTTTTACTAGGGCTGGGTTGGTGTGGTTGGTTGGTTGGTGGCGGGTTTAGGGTTGACTTTGGGTGAATTTGCGGTTGGCTTGGAGCTGATTTGTGTTAGGTGTTCTGGAGAAACGGTGCCTTTAGGGTTGCTTTAGGAATGTTAATGCTTGAGTTGTGGTCCCGCTTAGGATTGGTGTTGGAGCGTTGAAATCCACCCAAAGTGAACCCTAAACCCGCCCAACAGCAGCCTGGACGTCAGCCCTAAACCAACCCCAAACCACCACAAGACCCACCCGAATGAAGATCCAAGCCAGCCTAAACCTCCCTTAACTTAAACCAGCCCCCAGCAACTCCCAACTGCCTTCCAATCACAGCCAATAAACAACTCAGATTTTGCCAGCCCTGCGGAAAACCAGCCCGAGGATCAAGCCAGCCCCAGGAAACAAACAATCACTTCTACCGGGAGATTGAATAAACACATCCACATGATTGCTAACACCACCGAACAGTTTGGGAGTCATTCTCCTTGAAACAGGCAAGCTTTTCATTTTAGCCTCGCATGATCACTTTTTTTTTGGTGTTCTCTCTCTCTCTCTCTCTATCTCTCTCTTTCTCTGTGTTTCGCGCTGTGAATCATTGCCATGCAGGATCTGATGGCCGTGGAATTCACCATCCCGTTTCACAGCAGACGTGGATTGGACCAAGCGTTCCGACGAAGCGGGCTCGTGACAAGATGAAAGAATCAGCCCGGTGGATGAACCGGGGAGTGTTTCCCTCAAAACTGCAGAATCGGGGTACTCTCCCCCCCCCTTTTTCCGTGCTACTCAAGCAGAGCTTCGTTGATGGGGTTCCCAGTACGTACCTCTCTATTTTTGGTTGTGAGGCTGCTCTCAGGCACCTGTGCGTGGCCGCGAGCTTCTCGGAACTGCGATGCAGGAGTTAATGCGAACGTGGCTTCTCGGGCGCAGTGGAAGAAAAAAACGCTGGATTTGGCCGTGCTCGAGCAGCTTGCAGCTTTTGGGGGGGGGGGGGGGAGGGAGGGCGAAAGAGAGAGGGAAGGCCTGTACCAAATGCTTGGTTTCGTGGTGGTTCAAACCTTTGCAACGCAAATAGAGTCTTGAAACGCGTTCATTTTTCCGCTTCCCGGCGCACCCCTGGGGAGCAAACCACTCAAAAGCCGGGCAGTTCAAGTTTAGGTGTGTTTGTGTGACAAAATTTGGGGACCCCCAAAAGTGTCAAGGGTTTCCTTTTGGTTTCGCCTCCCCAATTTCGCGAGATTTGGAGCGTATGGACTGTTGGGGAGGTGCCCGTCGCTCGAGCATCGCGGTTCAATCAGAGGGGCTGGACTCGGGTTGAAGACGGCGAGCGGTCGCAGCAAGGAAGACCTGAGCCACTCGCTCAAAACCGGGTAGATGAAGGTAAGGGACAATCCCAATCATAAACTGGGCTGTTCAAAGGTAATCCTTAGTCTGTACCTTCGGTTACGCGACGCAACGGGTCCCTTTTGTAGTGGCTTCCCTATAAGGAGTATGGATTAGGATTGGCCAACTTTTCATTTTGAACAGCCCAGATAAATAGCTGCGGCCGCCTTCTTATTCCTTTACATGGTTCTGGGATTACGACCATTTAAGACCGAACTTTGATTATGACTGGACTGAGACTGGAACTCCAAGCTTTCACGTCGAGGCAATCGCTTGAGGATCCCGGTCGGATCCAAGAACGCCATAGAGCTCTCATGAGCCCAGCAAGCAAGCGCCATACTTCGCCGGGCCTGCGCCCGGGCCTGCGCCGGGGCCAAATGCCATGGCGTGGAAGGCTCGCGAAACCGATTGATCGATCGGTCGACCACTTTCAGCTGGAAGGCACCGAGCCCACCAAGAGTTGGCTGATTTTTTGCCACTTTCAGCGTTGCACCCAAGAGCCCACCAAAAATTGGAGGGACTCTTTTTGGCTCTGGGAGTTCGATTCGCCATCTCCATGCGACCTTTCGATGATCTCCAGTACGTGGTGATGTACATTCGAAATGTCTTAGGATCAAAAGTTTAACTTGCTGAGCTACGGGTGAAACCGATCATCGCCCATGAGGGCTCCTTTCTTTGAGATTCCCTTGAGATTCCCGTACATTTCCAACTGTGAATTGTTTGTCCACGCTTGTCCCGCGATTTTTTTGTCCAGTCTTTTTTGTTGAGAAGCCGAACTCCATGATCCGGGTCGAAAGGGACCTCCATTCTCCGAAAAGAATTGGCCTCCCATCCACTTGCGTGGAACCTGGTTTTGAGGTCCTCAAAGCCTCTGGTCCTTTTAACGGAAACCTTTGGTTCCATGCGGACAGGAGGGTACCCCTGCTGTTGCAACCCCCACCTTTGTTCAACTGGCGAGATAGGTGCCGATCGACTTCAACAACTTCAACTTCCCACGAGCGGGGAAGGTTGCGGCATATGAGGAGTGGACGGAGGAGCACGGAAAGGGCGGTGGGTGGGCAGGGGGGGAGAAGGTGTCAAAGAAGTACAGCCGGTCTTAATAGCACTGAACACTTGTTTCCACTCTCTTTCGCTGCGCGGCAGGAGTGGGTCGGGGGGTGGATAGGGGTGCCTCTCCAACGGTTTGTGCCGAAGTGAATGGCCACATTGCGAGCCAACTAACAATCTAGTCAGCTATCTGGCCTTCTGAGCGAACTATCTAACTAGCAAACTAGCTCACGAGCTGCAAACTAGCTAGCTAACTATTTGATTAGCTAGCTAGCTCTCCCAACCAGCTCACACGCAAACTCGATTTCTATCGAACTTGCTAAGTACCTAGCTAGCTCATTGGCTAACTAATTACCTTACTCTAGAAATCACTTAGTAGTGGGTTGACGTGCTATTTGAGCGAACTAATTGACCAGCAAAGCAGCTAGCCAGCAAACTAGCCACTGGCTGGCAAACTAGTTTGTTCGGGCTTGCATCTTACAAATGGGCAGCACGCCGCGCATGTGTTCAACTCCCATTGTGGAAACAAGCCATGCGTTTTAGCTGGTACTTCAACTTGCTCGTGCTCAGGAGGGAATGAGAAATGAAATAGCCCCTATAATCAATCCAACTGGTGGTTTCTTTAGGGGGACCCCCAAAACGGTTCCCAAAACGGTTCATTCCCACATTCCCTACCTATCGCACCAGAAAGTCAAGGGAAAGCCAAAGACACCAACCACTTCGCGTTGGGCGCCCCAAGTTCGGCATCGGATATTTTTCGCAGGTTTGAAGCATCACCCTTTGGGCAAGTTTTCTTCTCTCTTTTTTTACACAAAATAAACATAAACATGAAGTAAGTGGGCTGATGGTTTCCCAAGGCGGCAATATAGGGCCTGATCAAAAGGTGCTTTACATGGGATGACCATTGGTTGGAAAACCCGAAGGGCCCTTCGGGAATAGGGTTGATCCCCCATTCTGTCCAGCCATCGGGTTTTTCAAAAAACTAGCCAGGTTCCCCGGGTTTTTGGCAGGTTTTCTAGACATACGGATCCCTGAAAGGAATTCACATGGAAGGTCGCCCTAGAAATCTCGATCCAGCCCATGGGAAGCCAAGCAGAATTTTGGCAGCAGTCTCTCAGCGGCAGGATGCAGATGAGGCAGCAGGAGGGCCGAGCCCGTCCACCCGAAACCCAAACCCACGCGAAATTTTCACCCCCAAACCCCCTCCGCCCCAAACCCCAAGGCAACTTGAATCAACACCTACACCTGGAAACCCTCCACCCGACATCACACAAAGCCAGTGCCTATGGGCCATTTTAGTACGTGGGTGTTGCAGGATACCTGGTTTGGCTGGGATATCATGTTTGAAGCCTGTACGAATTCTGTAAACCTTTATGAATGTGTTAGAAGAACCGACAGTCAATGATGTACCCTATCCAAGGTCCGGTTGAAAATAGATGGGGCTGTCTCAAAATAGATACGAAACACCCTCAGGTTGATTAATCCTGCGCTGACAAGGAGGCTTGCAAAGGTTGGCATCCTTTGGTTCACTGTAAGAACCATTTCACCGGAAGGGCCAACAACGGAAAAGAAAGGTTGTTTCTAGGTGAATAGGATGGTCATCAGTTTATGAGGAATAATCATTAGTTGTGGAGAATCCTTAAGGTTTTTGCTTCGGTTTTTCACGCTGAACACAATTGTCCAAAGCGAGTCGACCAGATCGGACCTTTTGATTTTCCTAGTTTGGTTTTCCATTTTTGCTCCAGCTCCCAACAGCTTCGCGTTTGATTTCCAGGCCAACGCACCAGTAAGAAGGGTTTGTTGGGAACCCCGGAGAAGAAACCCCTCATTGACCAAAAAGGGGGGGGGTCCCACTTGAAACGGAGTCCTTGCAAGCCTTCGCAGCTGTGATCATTGCACGCGTTGGATCTCCATCTGTTCCTCGGATTTTTTGGCATGAGAATGGCCCAAGCCCTTGTGCCGATCTGTGATGTTGAACATTGTGAGGTAGATGGCTACATATCTTTTCTTGGTGGCTCCCAGCCATCCGGTCCCTTCGCTTTTTTTGCTTTTTAGTGCTTAGTGGTTTCCGTTTAACCCACTAAACGTTGTGCACTTCTAGCCGGGGATCTGAAAACGGGCAGCCCAGTTTTGGAGGAAGGACAGGGGGCACCTCGCAAGTAGCCGGTGAACTTAAGAATCTCCACGGAAATGACGCCCGCCGAAGGGTCAGGGACCCACTAAAATTCACACCCAGCTGCATAGGTGTGCTTTTTGGTTGCTTTGCTTAAAGAATAGAGGGCCCCGGTTCAGATGGGGTTGATTCCATTTACCATTGCCCAAAAGGCCACCTATGCTCAGATGTGGCCGGAGATGAGCTGTGCAGTCAGCCATCGTTTGTGACCGCACGTAGCGGATTGCTATTGATTGGTGTTTGGGGGAAGCCAATAGGAATTCAGAGGGTTTGTTGGAAAGCCCCAGATTTATGTTTTTGGGCTTGGTGAAAAAAGGGGATTTGTCAACAGATTCCTCAAATCCGCAGGTATACGGTATCCAGGGAATCTCTGATCATTTCTAAGGCGTGTCCCCTTTGCAGACACAGCCACATTCTCTTTTTGCAAGGCCCACAGAACTTTGGCCTTCTTGGGAATGTGTGACAGAAATGGTGACCCTTCATGGCAACGTTCTTAAGCTGGGGTGATAGGAAAATAGGGGTTTGTCAAATGTTGGCCCTTTAGTTCCCCTAAAGGAAAGCACCCAGAGTTTTCCTTTAGGTTCAACCTCTCATTAATCAGATGCAGGGCCCCATACCTGCTAAGGCTGCTAAGTGGAGGCCTCACATATGTGCCATGAAAAGAAACAACAGTTCTTTTTCTTGGGGTTAACAGGGATGGCCATCCACCTGGCAATGATCCTTTTAATGATTCCTATCCAGGGAGCCATGACCCAAGCTGCTAAACAACCTGAGCAATGGCAGGGGTCCGTATATTTGGGTGTGTCCTTCTCTCACCCCCACAACGGTGGTGTTTTGACTTCACTGTTGGATTAAGGTTTGAGGTTTTTTGGGGCTCTTCATTTTTAGGTTGGGGGCCATTGGGGGCCTGCCAACAAGCACCACATTTTTTTTGCCATGGCCCATACCGCTTGGGTTGTAAAGGGTTCCCCCAAGCCTTTGCCCCACTCCCTGAGTCCTTGGACTACGTTCCTTCGCAGTTTTGTGGTTCGGCGGCTCTTTGGTTTCTGGGCAAAGGTTACACATATTCGGGTGGCACCCTGGGCTTTTTTGTGTGTT